TCTCCTGATCAAACAACAGAATGAACCGTCGTTCTACTGAGTCGCATACCTATGGCGTACCTGATTTTTTTATCGACTCAAAACTCACCCGCGTGTCTGGTGCAGCACCTGATCCTCGTGACAGAGCTGATTTGCATCTCGAGCCAATCCTATTGTCCCCCGTTCCCCCCCTTCCCTGAAAATCCGTCGCCATGATGGTCCGTTGTAGAAAGCGGACTCCGCTTCGTCGGACGACCATCACAGACAAATCGGGCGACGTGCAAGCGGATCCGTCGAGACCCGTGCTCTGTGAGGTTCGGGGTGAGGCAGAGCCTGTGGAAAGGGCCACGGTATGGCGGCCAGGGCATGTGGTCCACCTGCGGATATTTCTCGAGAGTGTCGTCAGCTCATCGCCTCGTACCCGTGCTGCTGAGAAAGACATTGAAAGACAACTGACAGCCCTCCCTTTCATGCCTCATTCCTGCCAAACTCCCCTCCTAGATCTCGCAGTCCATTCCCCTCCCACCCAGTCCCAGCGGCTGTATATCTGGTGAAGTGTTACAAGGCGTGCTACCCTTGTATCTCTTCCTTCCGATCCCTTTGGTGTCACGACTTCGCCTGGGCTTCAATCCCTCCCTCAGGAGGCTCCATTGTGCGTCTGCTGCACAGCCGCACTTCAGCAAGTTACATTTGTGCCGCACTCCAAAGCCCGGAGTTCTCTCGGAGCTCCAAGGGTGCAACTGACTCAAGAGTGTAACCCTATTGGTTACGGTATGGCGCTGCACAGTCATTGGGCAAAGGAGATGGTGAGAAATCACGCCTTCAGAGTTTCACTAACAAAGAAACGAAGCCGTGATGATAATCATGGCGATACCAACAGTGACGGTGCTGCAAGCGGCAATGCATGCAGCCAAGATGCGCGCAGGCGCAGGATCCACCGCTCCTGTGCTTCAACTCCTGCAGCAGCGGTCCCGCCAGCCATGCTGCTTGCAGCATCTGCTGACAAGACAAGTCTCTCTGCTGACGTACTCAGCACAGAGATCACTCGGCACCAGCATGGGAGCTTCTCGATTCCAACCGGGTCAGCAGGTCGGCAGCACCAAGACGACCCGAGCCCCAATCGACGCTTTCCTCAGAGCCCGCCTTTTCAAAGAGCTGTTAGCGCCCCGGAACAACAGAGTTGTGTCGGAATCGTCTCTAAGTGCAGCAGCACGCGGCTGAGTTGGGCGGATTACTTTAGAAGCAAGGAGAGGCTGGGAATAGCGGTGCTGTCTGCGGAGCCACTTCAAACCCAGGGTGCAGCAATTCGCTGTGACGAAGCATGCAATGTGCGCACAGCAACATCAATGGAGGGATGGGCATGCTGGGGAAAGCCACTTGGTGCTCGAGCCATCATCCCTGACCTGAACCTTCCTGCCTGCGAGGCTGATGGCTTGACATGCTGCCCGGCCGTCGGATTCACGCATGCAAGACATTTCTCAGACACCACGCCGTCTCGTTCATCTGGAGTACATACAGCTGAGCTTCGAGGAACTAAGTTGGGCGAGTTGCACTTGATTGAACCCTTGTGGAAGCAGCAGCAGCAGCAGCCGCAACTAAAGAAACAGCACCAGCAAAAGCAGCAGCAGGCGAAGCAAGAGCAGCGAGAACAACTGCGCTGCCAGTGGAATGATTGCTTGGATACTGAGAGGAGAATGTTGATAAGGGAAATTATGAATTTTAGGAGAACGGACATCCCCTTGCTCTCGTAAAGCATGCATTGGCAATAGTTTTTGTGCATTTCCGTGTGCATTTGCTTCTAGAGTGGCTTGATTGAGCCTCTAATAAAAATGAAGGTATATGATCCCTATTATGTACCTCTGCATTTGAGGCTTTCTACCAGGAAGCGGAGAGTTTACTAACAGGCATGCTTTCGTCGCGCAAGCCCCAGCCATGTTCCACGAGAATTTCCCTCGTACGTTTTATACGGTCCAATTTGGTACCTCGAGGTTTCAAGCGGTGAACCACGGAAAGGATTTCCAGAGTTTTGCACCGTACATCACCGCATATAATGCATGGGCACACCTGTAATGAGTCCATTTCAATCTAGAAGGCAGCCACACTACGGAATGCGTACCATAGCAATCTAGCATTGCTCATTACCTTGCCATTGCTGCTTAGTAGCAGCTCGCTTTCCCTCCCTCCTTCACGCTAACCCCCAGCGCTATTATTTCTGCTCAGCGCGTCGAGATTCGAGCCGCGATGCAGATCTGCGTCAGTCGTACGCCTCAATCGGCGTTGGTGTCACCAGTCCGTGACACCATCGCTTCCAAATCTCATAATCTCCGTGCACCCCTAATCAACCGGTCCGCACCTTCAGCTAAGCCGCTACTGCTGCTTCGTTCATCACAATGTCGTCCCCGCCGCTTGCGGCGGCACGCGCATTTTGCCCCTCTCCGCGCACCCCATCGCGTTCCCAGCTCGTTATGTGCTCCACTCGTTATAAGGACCACGAGCCAGCGCGCTCTCCGGTCCGTTCACATTACGTCAGCAGCCCAAATTGATGGAACGAAAGCGGCGGATGTAGCGGGAGCGGATGCAGCGCAAGTTTACGTGACCGAGAAAACCGATTCTGACGCACACGCTCCGACTCCAGCCGCTTCCGCCTGGCAAGCATTTTCCGCCGCGTTTTCCGGCGAGTGGGCGGGATACTCCGTGGACTTCTCCCGCTTCGGCCACCCCTTAGAGCTCCCGCAGTCCGTCGTCCCCGAGGCGTTCCGCGACTGGGGGCTGGCGCAACTCGCCTGGCAGGCGCAGACGTCCAGCGCCGCCCGCGGGGAGAGCCTTGGCCGCGGGGATGCTCGGGTGCAGTCGTCGTTGGTGCGGTACGCGCCTGCTGCGGGGTGCGAGGCGGCGTCTCCGCCCAAGTACAGCGTGGAGAGGACGGCTCTGGAACTAGCTGCTGGTGGTGCTGATGGTGATAGTCGAAGCAGCAGTGCTGGAAGCACAGGTGCCGCGGACACCGCAGCTGCTGATGACGTGTTTGCGTTCACAGCGGACGGTTCATATCTGCTCGTCCGAGCTGGCCAGCCCTCCTCCATGCCCGCTCCTGCCAGCGTGGACGCCATGCGGGTCACACAGTGGGTGCCACGTGGCAGTGACGCCGAAGGCCGTGAAGCTACCGAAGGTGATTCAAACGAGGGGATCAGCAGCGTGGCAGGAGGGCCGTTTCAGGTGGAGCATTGCTTGGCTATGGAGGGCGTGGAAGCTGCGAGTGGCAGGGGAAGAGTGAGAGTGCGGGTCGTGCAGCAATTTCTACCAGCCAGGGGAGCAGGCGTGCCGCGGATTGCCAGCCTGGCACTGCACAGGGAGAAGTGGGTGGAGCCGTTTTCGGGCGGCGCTGAGCTGGCAGATGGTGCGGCACTGTTCAGTTCGGAAATGATTGAGGAGGGGGAGGGGAGTGAGGTGGTGAGAGAGGGGAGGTTAAAGGGGATTGAGGGGAGGTGGGAGGTGACAGCAAGAGAAGCCCAGTTGCCCACCGCTGTAAGATTTCTCTCAAGCTTTCGGGGGCTGTCATGCGTTTCCTCCATTTAATTGCTGGTTTCTGATTTTTTTTTAAATTTATTTTTATTTTTTTATGCACTTTGCTGAAGGTGTGAGTTATCACTCGACATAAAATCTATGTGAAATGAACACACTTTCACTTTTGATTGCCCCTTTTGCTGTCCTTTTCTCTTGTCGCTGTCCCATTTCCCTCCCCCTTTCTCCACTGCCTTTGTTTCCCAACAGCCCCTTTGCCCAGCAGCCAGCCACCTCACCATCGGTTCTTGCAGTGGAGCTAGCTGGCTCAACGCACACAGAGCTGTCAAGACAGACGGGGCCCTCAGCTGCCAGTGCAATGCATTTGATTTCCCACACCCCTTTTGTCCAGCAGCCAGCCATCTCACCATCGGTTCTTGCCGTGGAGCTAGCTGGCTCAACCCTTAAGGAGCTGTCAAGACAGATGGAGGCCTCAGCTGCGGAGGATGGGACGCTCATGCTGCTGCCAGAGGTATGAATCTTGCAGGACAAAAGGAAGGGGATGAGTGTTTTGACTTTTGGGTCGACTCAGAAGTCAACTGGGGTGGGGACCTCAGCTGTGGAGGATGGGACGCTCATGCTGCTGCCAGAGGTGGGGTGGGAAAGCCAGCAGGGCGAAGGGAAGGGGATGCGTCTTCTGCCAGAGGAAGGCGATGAGATGGTGTGCCCACTTAGTCTCACTGTGCCGCATCCCTCCATGTCTTTGATCTTCACCTTCTTCTCCAACCCCTTCCCCTCCCACCCCCCTCCCTCTCCCTATCTCTCTCCCTCTCCCTATCTTCCCTCCGCTTGCCATTCACTTCAATCCTCCTCCAGTTGTTGCTTTACATTTCATTCATGCTACCGCTCAAGGCTGTCCTGTTTCTGCCCACCGCTCTTGCTTTCTGCCACTTCTGCAACCCAGGGCGTTTGGAGTCACGTGCAACCATCAGAAGAAGGCTCGTTTTCTGCAGAGGTTGGGTGGTTGTTCTCGTCCAGCCAGGGATAGTATCTCGTGTTCACTTCGACCAATCAGGAAGAGCAAAGGTGTGTCTTAACGAGGAATGGCACTTGTAGGTATGGGGAGTTAGCAGATGAAGGAATGCTCAATCCAAGAGTGAACTTGCCCTCATACATGAATTTCCCACCATACTATAAGCTCCACTCAAGTTTGTGTTTGTTTGAGTGCACTAACAAAGCCTGTTGTATTCCGTTTTGTTTTTGTGCAGAGTGCATCTATCTCGATGGAGAGGACACTTAATGCATTTATAATGCAGTAGCTGAATGCATTTATAAATTAAGATACGGTATCATTTTTAGCTACGTTGATATGCATGCCGACGTGTTATATTCGTGTAGTTATTCAACATACGGGTAAATGCCAGTTATTGCGGCTAGCCCAGCACACTCCTCGCAGGACTCATAGGGCACCATTTCAACCCTAGGACACACGGTCTACTTCAAGCCCTGGAGACATATACTAAACCTAGCCAACTTCATAGGCTACCATCCCGTTGTTCAAGGCTTGCCCTACCTCGCTTCTTTGCTCTGTCGAAGTCAACATGGAGGTTTGTCAGGCTAGGCTAGACGGCATGGCAGCAATTCATGCTCTGGTCGTCGAAGCCATTAGATGCTGTCAATCTGCCTCTGCGGATGAAGCAGATTCCAGATGCATCACTATCTCGTTATCCAAAGCTCTTGACGTCAATTCAGTAGACAATGTTGAGGCTTCAAGAGGGACATTCGCGATAAATCACACTGGAGAGCCTCTGGCGGACAAGAATCCCGCGACCTTCATCAATCGTCTGGTTTCGTCTTCCGCCTTCCAACAGACTGTTGGAGCACGCGATTTCCCACAAATTTCGTGGGGTGAGAACTTTGCAACCTTCTGTTGGGCATTGTCGTTCCAAGTTCCTGACATACCGAAGCACCATCTATAGCCAACACAAATCTCCTTTTACGGTTTGCCGTTTCCGCGTTCCACAGGTGACGCCGTTGCGTTGATGACCACAGGTAAGTGCTTCGTGTACATTTCGAAGTGTGATGGACGTTCACGTGCGTAACCTGCTCAGGAATGAACGACACCGAGGTCAAGAGGTATGTTATTGACATTCCTGCTGAAGGCCAACCGACGTGGTCGCAACTCCCATCAATCGAGAAGCCAAAGGGAGCCTACTTCTCTGGCTTCGAGGTTTCTTTCGATTTTCACGGAGTCGTTGAGGATGCTGCCTTGAAAGTCCACGAGCTCATAGGGATGGTAAGTACATGTCGTCTTGCCTTCATTCATTGAACACGGCGGCCAATACTCAACGACGCTTCTCCGTTTGCAGGTGACCGTTCTTCAATCACAAGTATGCCAACTTCATTTGCTCTTTCGTTCCTTTGTGGCTGAACTGTTGCCTGACTTCTACAATCCTTTTCAGACTTCGATCGGCCTTTCCTTGGGAAATTTCTGCGACGAGTTTCAGTCATTGATTCATGACTTGCCATCCGCAACGAAAGAGACCGCCCCAGGATCAATAACGTTATCATATGCCCCAGATGACGATGACACCGAGTTCAGCAGTTTAGAAAGGTTTAAGTCAGGCGTGTCACAGTCATTGCTATTACAACGTGAAATTTGGTCTGCATTAAAGCAGGGGCAACCAAAGGCTGCCCCATGCCTCGCATCAGCAAGCATGACTCATCGCTTGTGGAATCTGGACTGCGTTGCTGCGTACGAGGAAGGATCAAAGGACAACGTAACAGTGAGTGAAGAGTAGACCAGGAAGCATATTTCTTTCCCACATCATGTTAGAAGATTTAATGGAGTTCATTGTGCTTTCAGGTGAAAGTGTTCAAAGACTGGTCGCCTCTTCTTGACGGAACCAGTGTAATAATGGCCTTGTCAGAAAGCAAACTCTGGAACAGTTTCGGGATCAGCATTGCGGATGCTGCTATTCACAACTTTTTTGGTGTTCTCCATGCGGGAAAGAGCTTTATGGAGAAACATCTCAGCATATTCCTCCATCTGCACAATGAACATATCTCATGGTAAGACCCTCTCCCCTGTCCCTATCTCTCTATCTACGTTGTCCTTTTCTACCCGGTGCATGCATTCTGAGTTGAAGCCCCCTCCTTGAGCACTTTTCGCAATGCAGTGTGAAACCCGAGAACGTCCCACAGAGAGTTCTGCCGAAGCTTGTCAAGGATGCAGTTGCTGCAGCTTTGCGGCAGTTGAAGACTCAGCTTCCTGGTGACTTCTCATCCGTACACCAAGCGAAGGTAGGCAAGAAAATCCATGCAGATTTAATTGTCGTTGAGTAGAGCACTTGACACCGAGTTCTCTTTCAGGTTGGGAATTGCTTGCCTGATTTGGCAACTAGCCTTGCAACCATAGTGATGGACTCCAGCAATCAGCATTTCCAAGAGGAGTGTTCCAAAATCTTGGGGTTCAGGATGTCAACAATGTTGAAACAGCCATTCTGCAGCGGCTGAGCTCTATTTCATTGGCGCCTGATCATGGAGGAAGAATGCTGCCTTGTAAGCGCCAGCCTAAAAAAATGGATGAGATGGATGTATAGTGGGCACTGGATTGAATGAAGGAAGCCATGTTAACCGCGACAAGGGTAGTACAAGGATCCTCCTGTTATATTGAGCTAGTCCAAAGATGCTTTGATCAAGCACCACGCCTTTGGAGGGTTATATCCTTTCATGGTTAGCACATTGTGCAGTGTTTAGAACTTGAAGTGGCGAGGAAGAAAGGCGTACGCCGACTATTGTAACGCGTAATTCATCGAGCCAATCATAGATCAGGGAGAAATGGATGACGTGGTAGCACAGTATAACACGTCGTTTGCCGAATGAGACGTTTTCATCAAATGGGGTAAGCGGTTGTCACGGGATTTCATCCAATCAAGCTTCTTCTCCCTCCTCATTGGTACCAGATTATCGCCTTCCTTTGGATCTGCCGGTGTGGATCCACGTCATCCTTCATGGAATCAAGCTGGCACTTTCGCCAGATGGGGCCCTCTGCTGAACATCCACCCGCTTGCGCGCATGTCTCGCCCTGCTGGGGGAAGAGGCAGAAGGGTCGCTGCACCGCACGCATTCAGCCAACCGAGCGGCGCCTGGGGTTTTGCCTGAGGCAGGCACACAGGCAGTGGGGGGGTAATTTTGCGCGACGATGCGGCGGAGACTCGCGTCAGGGCGGAGGATGTTGAGAATTCGAGGCGGCTCGAGCAGCCAGAGCCCGAAAGGAATCGCAGATTTGTGTGCTTCTCGTCCGTCCGATTTGCTCGGGCAGAGCACGAAATCGTTTTCTTGGCTCCATGGCATGGCGCTTGCTCGTTGGTCGCAGCCCACAACTCACACTCCATAGCCACAGCCGAACTCCCCCTTTTAGTCGATGCATCTCACGAACGGAGCAGAGAGGAGCAGCAGCAGCTGTTGCTAATTGTTGCGTCTCCGTACGTAATCCCGTCCTCGTGCAAGCGAGGTTTAGTAACGCAGCGGCCAAGTTAGGAGTTCTCTTCGGGGCTCTCTCCTCGACCGCGCTCACGAGTTCCGTCTGGGACCCGAGCTCTCTCAAAATCAGGAGCCAATTCCCATCTCTTGGGATTTTGTTAACCAGTGAAGCAGTATTTTCGGGCACCATGGGGCTTCACTCGCTATGCGCCATGGGCTGCCAGACCCCTTCATCTTCGGTTCTCGCTCCGTCATCGTCTCTCGTCCATTCGTCGCTACCCAGTTCCTCTCGCCCTTCTCGTTCCTCTGGCTCCTCTCGTCAAGTCAATTCTCACCGCACCTCGTCCGCGATTCCCTCCTCCCATGCCACTTCCTCCGCGTTTCACGGCGAGTTTCACGGCCTGCACCATCACCAGCTCTCGCGCAACCCCTCCGCCTTCTCCCTCTCGCACGCGAAGGCCTTCGACGAAGCTTCTGACCGTCAAATCAAGTTTCCAGCTCACTCCGCAGGACGCGAACGCGACGGCGGCTATGGCGGCGGCGGTTGCGGCAAGCGCGCGGTGGTGACAGCTGTCTTCGAGCGATTCACGGAGCGCGCGATTAAAGCCGTCATGCTGGCGCAGGCGGAAGCTAAGGCTATCGGGCGGAAAGAGGTCGCGACGGAGCAGCTCCTATTGGGTCTTATCGCGGAGGATTTCGCGAGCGCCGGAAAGCCCGGCGGGTATCTCGGCTCGGGAATGACTATCAGCAGCGCAAGAGATGCCGTCCGCGCAATGATTAGGGACGGCCGGCTGCCTGCCGCGGTTGGTCTGCCGGCTGGCAAGCCGGCTTCCGAGGTGCCGTTTCGGCCGGCAGCAAGCGGGTGTTTGAAAAAGCGCTGGAAGAGTCGCGGAAGCATCGCCATAACTTCATCGCGCCGGAGCATCTGGCGGTGGCGCTGGTGCAGGTTGAACACGAGGGGGCGCAGCTGGTGATCGAGAGGTGAGAGAGTAAAACTGCAAGGCGGTACGTGCTGGTAACCAAGAGGTGAGTCGTAGATGGATTACAGCTGGGTTGCGGAGGCCTTATTTCCATCAAGTCTGTAGCAAGGCGGTACGTGCTGGTAACCAAGAAGTGAGTCGTAGTTGGACTACAGCTGGGTTGCGGAGGTCTTATTTCCATCAAGTCTGTAGCAAGGCGGTACGTGCTGGTAACCAAGAGGTGAGAACTGCGGAGCACCGCGCTAACAGTATCCCTCCCGAGCATCTGGCGGTGACGGTACATGCGGAAGCAGCGAAAAACAGTACTGTTTTCTCCTGATCATCTGGCGGTGGCGGCGCTGGTGCAGGTTGAACACGAGGGGGTGCAGCTGGTGATTGAGAGGTGAGAGCAGAAGGCGGCATGTGCCTGTAACGAGATGGCTCAGGAAGCATCGCCACAACACTACCACGCCTGAGCGGCATCTGGGTGTGGCGCTGGTGCGGGTTGAGCACGAGGGGGCGCAGGTGGTGATCGAGAGGTGATAGAGTGAAAGTGTAAGACGGTACGTGCTGGTAAATAAGAGGTGAGACTTGCGGAAGCAGCGCGCTAACAGTATCCCTCCGGAGCATCCGGGTGTGGCGCACCTGAGCGGCATCTGGTTGTGACGCTGGTGCAGGTTGAACACGAGGGGGCGAAGCTGGTGATCGAGAGGTGAGAGTAGAAGGCGGCATGTGCCTGTGGCGGTATTGCTTGTAACCGAGATGCCCTAGGGAGCAGCGCGATTACAGTATCCCTCCGGAGCATCTGGGTGTGGCGGCGCTGAGAGGTGTGGTTATAAGATGGTACGCGAATGGTATTTGAATGTTCTGCAGATAGTCGGCATCCTCGCTCCACCTCGAATGGTTTTTAGATTGCCACTTTTTTGCGATGCGTTGTGAAGGAGGGGTGAGGCTTCGAGCCTTACTGCTTCGACGCGGCAGCACCGTGGGGTGACTCTTTAAGACTGGCTCCGGGGCATCTGGTCCCATCTCGCTCCCCACTCCACCCCCCGTCCCCCATGTTCGCTCTTGAGTTGAATGGCTCTATAAGACTTATTTTCTCCGAGGCATCTGGTCCCGTGTCGCTCCCCACTCCAACCCCCCATCTCCCATCTCCCATTTTCTCCGGCGCGTTTGAGTTGAATCAAAATCCTCTGGTCCCATCTCGCTCCCCACTCCCCATTTCCCATCTCCCATCTTTCCCGGCGTGTCACAGCCTGGGAGCGAGCAAGCATCGGCTGCAGCAGGCAGCGCTGGCGCGGCTCAAGGGCGAGCTCGATAAAGACGGCCGCTCGTCTGAGTCGCTCTCCAACCCCTCCTCTCGGCCTGCCAGCAGCAGCAGCGCTCAGCCTAAGGCAGTCAGCCAGGCAGCGAACAAGGGGCGCGGAAAGAAAGGTACGCCTCAATGCTGCATGCTGCCCCTTCGGTTTCTTTCCACATTCGCGTTTCTTGCTTAGTGTTGCTCTGGCGTAACACTCATCCCACCTCCACCTCCCCATCTACCCACCTCCCCCACGAGCAGCCCAGCAGAGTGCTTTGGAGCAGTTCTGCACGGTCCTAACAGCCAGGGCGGTGAAGGGGGCTGACTAGTCAAGGAATGTTCTCCCAACAATCCCCACTCCTGCTGTTCTCCTCTCCTCCCCACTCCTCCTCTCCCTCCCACCACCATTTCCCCCACGAGCAGCCCAGCAGAGCGCTTTGGAGCAGTTCTGCACGGACCTAACAGCCAGGGCGGTGAAGGGGGAGATTGACCCTGTGATTGGAAGAGAGGAGGAGGTGGCTAGGGTGGTGCAGGTGAGTGTGATTATATGTTCTTTAGTGTGATTGTGAGTTCTTTAGGGTGGTTGTGTGTGGTTTGGTGTGATCATGTGTTCTTTAGTATGGTTACGTGCTTTTTAGGGTAATTGTGCGTGGTTTGGTTGTTACCAAGAGATGTGGGTGTTTTGACAGCCAGGGCAGTGAGGGGGGAGATAGACCTTGTGATTGGGAGAGAGGAGGAGGTGGCTAGGGTGGTGCAGGTGGGTGGTGATGTGGTTGTAAGGAGATGGGACCATAATGGGGGATAGTGCTTGGGGCATCTAAAAGCCATGGCAGTGAGGGGGGAGATAGACCCTGTGATTGGAATTTGGAAGAGAGGAGGAGATTGCCAGGGTTGTGCAGGTGAGCGTTGCTATTGTGAACAGAGGATTGTGAGTGTGTTGAAGCGTGATTGTAACGGGCAGACAGCAGTAGCTGGGAGTGTGTTGACAGCTATGGCAGTGAAGGGAGAGGTAAAACCGGTGAATGGCCGTATTTTGTTAGAGTTGTGCTGGTAGGTAGGTTGTAAATGAAAGTGATTGTAACAGGTACGTTCTGGTTTGACTGTATACAAGTGTGATCGTAACAGGCTGCAGCTGTAGCTGGCTGTGTAGCCCTGTGACTGGCTGAAAGGTGGTCTCACGAGGGTGCAGGTAGGTGATTGGGGAACTGTATGGAGATGTGACTGTATGGAGATGCGACAGCATGTAAGCTCCTGTAAGAAACCCGTTATTGCTGGGGAAGACGATACTATACATTGTTTTGCATTCTCATTTCCCCTTCCCTGTCCTCCTGTGTTCCGCTCCTCCCTCTCGCCCCATTAAAGCCCGAGTATCACGTGGTTCAAACCTTATAGATATAAAATTCACTGCACAGTGGGGGGTTCAGGGTTGGGGGGGGGGTGGGAGAGATTGGTTGACGGGTTACTTGCGGGGTTTTTCGACAGAAGTGACGAAGTTTCCGTGCGACTAAAACCCATCAAGTAATAACAAAATCCGGCCAGGAAAAACCCCTGGCCCGATTCAACAGTATTTTGGCATGCCGTGGCCTGAAGCACCTCTAAAATAGTTCTTCAACCACCTAAAGTTGAGGGCTTCTAATTTGCCAAACGAAGTTACCAGTTTGGGAGCGTGTTAATTCCTGCTGTGAGGATCCTTGCCCGTCGCACCAAGAACAACCCTCTGCTGCTGGGGGACCCAGGGGTGGGCAAGACGCATAGACCTCTACTTTCCTCGTCCTTCTCCTCCCATTCCTCCCATTCCTCCCATTCCTCCCATTCCTCCCATTCCTCCCATTCCGCCCATTCCTCCCATTCCTCCCATTCCGCCCATTCCGCCCATTCCTCCCATTCCTCCCATTCCTCCCATTCCGCCCATTCCTCCCATTCCTCCCATTCCGCCCA